ACTCTGCATGTGTAAGGCAACACGCGAACATATGCCTTTCAGACACCCACTTAAAGCGCATTTCACGGTTTCACGTCAGGCGCGATTCCGCACCTCTACCACATAATATTGCGTGCGTTAAGGAGATTTCTTTTACTATGTGAACAAAAGAAGTGTAAACATACTACCTCGTTGTTTGGTAAGGCACAATATTAATGAGAACTACAATATGACATTGATGTTTTTTTCCGAATCCTTTCGCCCACTCGCGTGTATATGTGATAGAAAAGCTGATTGCCACGTAGACAGCCTAATTTTGATTCTCACTCGCACTGGTTTTTTCGTGCTTATTTAATTGGCAGCTTTCTTGATTTTTTTCGTCACGGACACGATGATGTTTTTTCGCTCACAACCCGAGATGCCAACACCGTCATCGAATTTCTGCGAAACGAGCTCTTCAACCCTATCGCGTTAAAATAATATATATACAGTGCATAAATATAAGTATAAGTGAACGTAAATTGAGACCATGATCAAACCGCACACTAAAAGGTAGTTGTAACCTGCGACAAAAATAACACAGGAAAGTGACCGGACTAGCGAAACAAGTTGGAACGACGTTACTATAGTCGAGGTTTGAAGTCCACCATGGTTAATGGAATTATTAGCATGCCATAATTTGTTCTTGATTGGGGTATAAACCAGTTATTGTTCACTGTGAAAGGCCTCCAAAGAAACTTAATGCAATGCAAAAGATGGGACTAAACGTTGTGTTGCAAAGATAGAAAGCTCACTGCCAAGCTCAAGGAATATCATGATGAATTTGAAAATGACTACGTAACACACTACAATCACGTTTTGCTGGACAAGGACAAGAAGTTCATATTTCACGCGAAAAGTGGGAGCTTGCGCCAGGTACTCTTCTGCGCTTGATCGCAGCAATTCCACCCCATATATCGAAGCCAAATTTTCGTACTAAGGTGCCAATCCTCCCCAAGACGTATGGCGCCTCTCAAATGCACAGTGCCCAGTTTGAAGAAGCCACGAAAAAAAGAACAGCAAGATGAAAGGCACGCGATGAACAATGCTGTCGATACTCGGAGTTGCATCGCATAGACATTCTAGTGATTGTCGCGCTGCCTTCGAAACAGTGGATTTTTTTTTTTTGCTTTAGTATATATCTTTGTCACGAACCAACACAACCATGGTCATGTTTTACCAGTGACCAGGTATTGTCACATTGCTTTCATATCACAGCCCTATAGATAATTTTCTAAATTGCAGTGTTCTCATTTCTGAATCTTAGAGCAGGTAACGGGGTGTTGCACATGTCGGTGTCACTTCTTCCCGGTGCACCCCGAAGTAACACACCTTGAGTGTACTACATCCGTAGGTACGTCCGCAGAAAAATTACGTGCCAGCGCTCAAAGAGTGCCTAGCATCTCTTAAATGTACCCCAGGGGCAGCTGCGCCAAAACCACACGATAGTGCACTCGCTCCGATGAGGTGTTTTAAGAAGGCTGCCTACATCATCCCTTACGTGGCCGCTTTTCTACATTAAAAGCAATTGAAAAGACTGTCTAGAGGCATTTGACAAAACCCCCTAGTTGGTGACCTCTTTTGGGTTGTCCTTGAAAAGTAGGAGTGGTTGCTACTGCAACTTCTGAGTTACTCCGCTCATGGTGGCAATGTGATGGCTAGAGAAGTGATGCTTTACTTTGTGATGAGAATGTTCTTTCTTTTTGCAAGAAAACCAATCGGGAGTTTTCTGAAAAGGTGGAAAATAGTAGAAAGAATGTGATGTGGCTGTAACATTTTGCACTCGGCACCCGATTGATGGCTGTCACAAAGACTTGTCTGGTAAAGCATAGGTACTATTTTTTTGGGAACGCTTTTTGCAACTAGCTGAAAACATGCGCATTGTTTTTCTAAAGTGTTCTTTGTATTGTAGTAATTCAACTTGTTTGAGGCTTTTACAGACGTTCTGGGTTGTTTTTCGTCTAGGCAAGACGGTTGTGGTTAAAATGGTAGCGGCCGTCATAAAAACTACGCTAAAAATGCTCATCGACCTAGAACCTCCCGTAGGTTAAATGCAATGCAGACAGTTCAAATACAGGCAGGACATCGATTCTTAGCCAGCTTGCATCTGACCGCAGTGCCCCGAGTTCTCGCGACTGCCGTTCGGCCCAACCTCCTCCGCTGGCGCAAATACAAAGCTTTGAAACTGACTTCATTCTTGAAATGTTGGACACCGACTGCCGTCATGGGTCCCAATGAACTAACCTCCATTCAGGCTATTGGAATATTAGCGTAGATGAGATGCACAACGAAGAAAACCACTACTGCAGTAGTAACACTACATGTTTGCTACCAGGTCAAAGTCAAGCCTGTTGGATTGCGAAGTGCACCAGCTACATTCATGTGCAAGATGTCTGATCTTTAAAAGCTGGCTGCAATGCCGCACGACCATCCTCTCAGAGCTCCACAATGCCTGCCTCTATCTGAATTCATTGAAATAGCATTTTCATCAGCAGGAAATCGCCATGCTCGGACATCTCATAAATGCTGTAGGAAATAACCTGATCCCGCTAAAGTGTGGGGGATACAAAATTTTGCTGTTTCTCATTTGACAAAAGATACCCAGAGTTTTATGGGCTTAAAGAAACCCTGAAATGGCTTTTTGAAATTTTTGTCAGCCTTTAGGCTACAGGATCATCAAATCATTCACACCATGCATTTAGCAGCACGCCCTGTACGAAGGCCGTTAAGGACAGCTATATCAACACCGTCCTTCTCACCCCTGCCTTGCTCCTCAAGTCGCGAGACACACTGGTATCCCTGGTGATCACGGAGCTCTTATGAGCACACTTGGTCTTTTGAGCTTTGCCCAGTCACAGCCTCTGCGATGGCACACCAACAGGTTGCACGCAAACTAGGAGACCCCAGCCCAGTATGCATGGCAGCACGCATACCGTGTGCAACAGAGACAAAGATCGTGGAGTGGTTGATATCTGTTCCGACAGACACTGCCACCCTACTAGCGAATATTACTTCCGCGCATTCCACAGCCAATCAGACCAGGAGCCTGGCTGATGTCGTGCTACTAGAGCTCCGTCGGCTGGATTCATGACCACTTGTAGCAAGGGAGATCCTGGGACCTTGGCCGATGGTTTTGCATACATGCAAAGCCATGAAAGCCTTCTTGTGCTTCTTAAGGACCACCAGAATTTACGAGCACTTGTGAAATCACAGCGTGAGACAGTGCTGTGTAGTTTCGAGCTGACTATCCATCTCTTTCTTACTCCTCTTCTTTTCTATCTCTTTCCTTCCTTGTATTTACCTTTCCCCCACCCCAAGTGTAGGATAGCCAACCCAGCCAAGTTTGGTTAACCTTCCTGCCTTTCCTCTCTATTTCTTTCTTTCTTTCACTCAATAGAGGATATCTTACTGCATATGGGTGGTTGAAAACATTTTGCTGAGCCGAAGCGATCTGCAGCAATTTTCCGCTTTAAAGGCAATGTAATAAATTACAGTTTATACAGAGAGCATAAGTCAGTTTGTAAATGACCCTTAGAACTCTGTCTACAGGCCCAATGAGTTTGTAGGAAATCGTGAAAACTATTTCAGGGTCCCTTTAAGTTCTTGCTTTCCTTGCTGCGTAAAAGAACTTGCTGACATTGTTCCTTTTCTAAGTGACCTTCCTGAATGAGTAATGACATGACTTTTAAACATTTTCAGATTGCCACAGTAAATAAAAGCACCGCTGTTAAGAACCCTAGATACAACATTGCGTTGCCCAGGAGTGCATTGCATATGTCTTTAATACCACTACCTCAAAGAAACTCTTTTGGTTTCAATATTGAAGAAGGTAGATCCTCTGTGATGTCACAAAAAGATAGCAACTTGCAACATACTAGCACTATATCCATCATCTGCTTGTGGCACATATAAACAATGACAAGTAAATTATGGTCCAGTGATCCTGAGAGTGATTTTTGTGATTGCAGCTGCATGTATGTTGCAGAGTTCGCAAACTCAGTGGAACTGAGTTGACTCGTCAAAACAATGGCCATTACGATGGGGCTGGCTTGCTGATGCTCAGCGAAGAAAACTTTGTGATCAAAGTCAGATATTTATACATGTGGTCTGGCACTAGTGTGTGGAAGTGGTTAAGTCTTCGTGCCAAGAAAACAAAACTGTCCCTTTTACAGTCTGAAAACCATGTCGATAATCCTTTCAGCGGACTTAAAAAGTTAAACAAGGTCACCAGACTGGCGCCTAAATTCAAGGCTGGAGTGACAGTCGGCTTTTCAAGTGCACAGTCGGTACTTCACTGTGTACTATTGCCTACGGCTAGGTGGCGTCATCGTCAATCTATCATAACGTATGCATAATCATAGAAAGGGTTGCTAAATACAAAGCAAAATATCTTTATATGTAAGTTTCATTCTAAGAGTACTGATTTTTTCCAGGAGACACATAGTTGCCCACAATAACGTTTTCGATACAGTGGGAACAAGTTTCGGTTGCCTTACGCTGTTACCAAGGTTTGGTTCAGTGTCAAGACGAGGGCCCAAAGTTATTCTCCAACGAATGTACCCCGCAATGAGCCAACCGGTCATGCACCGGTGCATTCCCTCTAACGGTACACGCCCACGCAAGAAGCGTTATCGGCTGACTAGAGATGCTCTAAGGTAAACACACGACAAACCACGCAATCGGGCGCGAGTCAGCACGCACACCGCCACTGCTCGAGCCGAGTGCGCTGTCGCCCGCATTGTCAGCGATCGCACAAAAAGTGGGAACCTGCGGGAGAACGGAAGAGGGTTTTGCCGCAGACAAGGGGGACGAACGGGACCGGGTCGAGCACGCCTCGGGTAAAATCTCGCCATTTTTTTGCGGCGTCACAGGCCGGTCCAGGGGTCGGAGCAGCAGGAGTGCCAACCGATCGGGTCGCAGACCAAAACGGTCGCGAATGTCGCCAATGCCGACAGCGATACAGCATGCCTAAGCAAATTCACCTTTTTGTTGACAGGTTACTAGGTCCTCCTGGCTTCCGTAGTTATGGCGTTTGACTCCAAGGGCAACAGTTGCCAACTGCCGTAACTCAGCGTAAACGACATGTCCTTCCGCGTTTTGGTTGCATAGTAACGGTACACAAAGCATTTCAAAACAGGTATTCACGTTCACAGCAACAAAAACAATTGAACCCTTATGCGATAAATAGGTACAAGATAAGACTAACAAATATTTGCACAGTTTAGGCACCAATAAACTCCAGCAATGTGTACCTATTTCTTGCCGCGCTTCTTCGCTTGAGTGTGATGAGGCACTCGTTAGAGACGAGGAAGCTAGGGACGCTTTCGTCGCCATGTTGCTAGGCAAATGACTGAAAAAAGGGAATTGTCACGGCAAACTGAAGAGGCAATAAATTGAACATTTATAATTTTTTCCCGCAAACTAACTAGTTTGAGACACTAATAAGTGTGTGTGAGTGGTACAGTTTTTATGACCTTGATTATGCAGTTGCTAGGACGCCGTACTTGAGCAGACGACGCTCAGACGCAGTTGGCAATGGAGCGCTTCGGCGCTCTTTTCGATTCGGGTATGGCCGTCAACAACGGTGGATCGGTTGAAGCATCGCCCGAGCGACGAGACAGGGCCCAGTCTGCGTACCTGTTCAGCTACGTGGACAGCCCTCGTGGCTGCCCTCTGCTGAAAAGAGACCTGCTTCCTGCTGGAGATGACAACGTCAAAATCCGTAAGCAAGACAGCCATTTCTTTTTAAATGAAACAGACGCGTGGTTCAACGAGTTTCAGTCGCGTGAGTATGAAATGTGTTTCCTTCACACATTTTCTGTGTCAACCAGTCAGAGATATCCCGCTGATTTAAGTGAGAATGCTGCATAGGTCGGCAAATTTTGTAAAGCTCACTCAGACTTCCTTTTGAAGTATATTTTGAGCGTTGGACTCACGAAAAATTTCCTGAGCCAGACTCACTCAGACTCGTGAAAAGTTTCTTCAGCCGGACTCACTCGGACTTAAACTCACGAAAACATTACTAACCCAGACTCACGGATCGATCCGAGTATGAGAGTCGACTCATGCGACCGTCAGCCTAGAATTAGGTTCTTCGACTGTGGTGTCAATGCTCTTTAGCACCAATATCTCACGTAATCGGTGGTCTTCTTGGTGCCGTTTGACATCGTATCTTCGAAAACAAGTTCTGAGAAACTAGTAAGGTCATTTTCTTACTAGAAGCAACAGCGTAAGATATAATTAGAGACCGGATTATATACAAATGCCTATTTTGTTGCTAGCATTCTTATCGTGTCATTTTGATATATGAGCATGAATTAGAGGTTACGAAGGGCTTTCATGGTGTTTTATAGTGCCCATAAATGCCTATTTTAGGTGTTTGTCCCTATAGGTGCCTATAAATGCCTGTTTTCCAAATGAGCGCGTATATGAGCGCTATTCAAGCCCAAATTTTTTTCGAGCGTGGTTTGAAACCGCTATTCATGTAAAATTAGCAGCATTTATATTTCCAAACACTATAAGGCTCAACGAAGACAAAGCTGACATGCTGCGAGTGATTGGGGGAGGAGCATGAGAAGTGCAAAAGACGCCATTTCTGCAGCCCTATGTGGAAGAATGTCTCAGCGCTTGCAGGGGAAGGAGAAGTGACGTCTCTGAGCGAGGACGTGGCGACCACCTTCTAAAAATAGCTGTTCAGTGCCCTGAAGGAACTGAAGAACCCCCTGAAAACCTAGGGGTTGTGGTGGGAAGGGGTGGGGGTGGAGCAGCTGCAGATTGCTGAAGAACGAGTGAAAAACCATGGAGGACCACTCATGGAATGCTCCTGTTCATTCAGTGGTGACTAAGGTCGCCAAATTTTTATACTTTTTACAGCAAAGCCCGAGACAGGCGCCGGTATGTTTACAATCAAAGGTGTATTTAGCATGCATTCACCGTATGCTTAAACATGCATGTTGCGTATGAGATCTCTTGTCATATGTCTTTAAGGGACAAACATGAAAAAATACAGAACAGCGCCTCAAGGTTTATCCTAAGCCATTAATCAAAAATGACAGCTGTAACAATATGAAAAATTAACTAGGATGGGAATCACTATCATCGCGTCGAACTAAACTGCGGTTAAAGCTCCTATGTCAAGCATTTCATGGTAAAACTTGCATCCGAAAATGAATATACCAAAACAGTCCTCTTCGTGCAATGGTATAATTAAGATTTTAGAATGTCGTATCAGAAATATTTTTCTAATAAGTCGTTTTTTGTTAATTTTATGACAGAATGAAGTTGCTTATGAAGAGAACAAAGTGTGTTGTGGCAATGAATGCTTGTTTTTTTTTTCTTGACATTGTAACCCATCTGCTGCAGTGCCTTCGGGTAAAAAATGCGATGTGCACCCGGCTTTTGTTTTGTTTGTAATTTACTCTTTAAGCGTCTCTCTCTAGGTGATATAATAAGTTGTAGTTAGACACTAGACGTTCTAGTGTGCCCAGTAAAAAGCGTTCTACCATTTAAATCGGTTCGCTACGAGCCATCAAAGCATAATGCGAAGAAGCAAGCTTGAATCCTCTCGAGCCATCGTGAGCCTTTCCCTGTTTTCTTTGGTATTGAGGCTGGACAATCACATGACGCACCAAGAACAACATGCGTGGTCACCCGCTCATGACGGGCCCCAGCCTACTCGTGCATGCCATCGATGCTGTGTCGATTTGACGCTCTCTCTTTTGTACTGCCCGTTTCTGTGTGGTGTCTTTAGGAGAGACTGGCAAGGACCATGTATTGTGACCGCGATACGCCACCTCGCTCTGCTGAAACTGCGGTCAGAGACGACGCACCAAACACAAGCGTTGCCAAGGCACGATGCAGGAACGACGAGAAGACGAACGCAAGCGAAATGGGGTAGTAAAAAACACCATATGAATATGAAGGATGCTTTAGTGGAGGTCTCCACAAATTTCGACCAACTTTTTAAATGTGCACTGACATCGAGCAGTACACAGGCATCTACTTCCTTCATATCCATCTAGATTAGACCTCCACGGCCACAATCGAACTTGCGGCATTCGGGTCAGCAGCGGAGCGACTGCTCCACCAAGGTGGAACGAGGGCCGATTAATTAATTTATTTATTTATTCACAATACTGCCAGTCTCCAAAGAGACCATAGCAGGTGGGCACTACAGTATACAGTCACAAAGAGCACTTAACACTTTCAGGATCGTAAATTGGTAAATAATGTGTAAAAATACAAATCAGCAACCTCGAAGCATACAATCAGCACTTATGCACACCATACACACCAAATACAAGTGAAGGCTGGTTTTCATGTCACAGAAAAGCAGACATATCAAGGACGCTAAAAGACGTTATTTTCAATTCTTGATAAGAAATCGCACAATGACTGGGCATTAGTGGTGAAAGGGGTTAACAAATTCCATTCGTGGATGGCAACTGGAAAAAAGGAGTATTTAAACGCATCATTGTTACATTTATATTCTAATAGGGTATTTGTATGTTGGTGCCGGGTAGCTCGTGTTTGCGAATATTCAACGTAGTTTGAGACATCTATTTTGAAATAATTATGTAGGAGTTGATAAAGAAATTTCAAACGTGCCTGCTTCGCCCGTGTTTCGAGCGTGGGAAGCCCAGAAACAGCTAGAAGGGTAGTTGGTGAATCAGCCAGTTTAAATTTGCTATGTATGAATCTTATGGCCTTCCTTTGTACCTTTTCTATTTTTTTTTATGTTAGTCATGGTATGAGGAAACCATACAGTATTTCCATATTCAAGGATTGGCCTAATGAATGTTTTGTAGGCTAGTAGTTTCGTCGAGGTGGGTGCCAGATGGAGCGATCTGCGGATAAAAAATAGTTTTTGCATAGCAGAAGAAGTAACATTATCAATGTGAGCGTCCCACCTTAGATCTGATGTTATTGTTAAGCCTAGATATTTATGTCTCTGTACATTCGTGAGAGCAGCACCATTCATGTTATAGCGAAAGTGAGAGGGTTCTTTTTTCCGTGTTATCGTCATGCATGCAGATTTTTTTACGTTGATTGTCATCTGCCAATGAGAGCACCATTCTGCAATGGTATTAAGAGACTTGTTGAGAGAGAGTTGATCTTGTTGATTGTTAATTTGTCGATAAATGATACAGTCGTCTGCGAATAACTTTATTTTACTATCTATATTAGTAGTTATATCATTTATATAAACGAGAAATAACACGGGTCCAAGCACGGAGCCCTGGGGCACTCCTGACGTCACTGGTACTGTGTCTGATGCAAAATGTTCAAAAATAACAAAGTGGGATCTATTAAACAAGAAATCTTGAACCCAAGCAATAATTTCTCCATCTCCGATAAGGCTTCTTAGTTTAGCTATTAGCTTTGTATGACAAACGCAATCAAATGCCTTGGATAGGTCGAGTAGGATTATGTCGGTTTGGCGGTGATTGTTAATGCCTAGCACGAGGTCGTGTATTACTTCGGTTAACTGTGTTATGGTGGATAAACCTTGAATAGGTTATTCAAAACAAAATAAAAATAATAAGCTGAGATTCCGTTTGCACGTTTTATTATTTTTCTCAGCGTCCATTCATTACACTGATTTTGAAAGGGCAGTGCAAGACACAGGGAAAAGAAAGACATGGAGACAAAGAGTGTTGCTGTAAAGACGATAGTCTTTCTTGAAGACCTTCGACGCAAAAACTTCGGTCTGTCTCTCTGTCTGTACATTTGTCTGCTTGTCCACCGTTGCCGCGAAACATGTACTCTAAACAGCATCAGCCGATACACCGAATGGCCGACCCCATCCGCAGCGCCCTGCAATGTTGCTCAAGAGTCAGCGTTCATACGTGTGCGATTGTCAGTTGAAAACCAATCATTGCGCATATCTGAGGCACCAAAACAACACGTATACATTCTGCATGTGCGTCTCTTACTAGAAAAGGCATACATAAGTAATTCTAAGGACCGTAGCGCTTATGCAGCGCTGACCATGCAACGCATGCACAAAGAAGCAAGTGTTGCCAACACTTTGGTAAGACGACGTGGTGGTGGCACCTACGCGT